TGAATCGGAGAAAGGGGCCAGGCAGGCAGGAAGGCTCTGCCCACATGGTCACATATGTGTGAATATATAGTTCAGAAGTGTAGCTATGTGCCTTTTTAAAAGTCACATTCTTATTCCATCCTGCCTTTTATGCTTTCTTCTGTGTGGATCTTTATGATCATGCTTGTTTGGTTATTTGGGAATTCTCATCAAGTTGTAGTCAACTTATGGCGGCCCTGTAGGATTTTCAGTGTAAGAGAGGTCCAGAGGTGCTTTACCATTGCCTGCCTGCCTCTGCCTAGCGACCCTGGACTTCCTTGGTGGTCTCCCATCCAAATACAGACCAGGGCCAACCCTGCTTAGATCTGATGAGACTGGGTTAGCCCAGGCCATCCAGGTCAGGGCCTGGTTATTTACTTGGCTGTTAAGTTTGCTTTTCAGTGACTCCTTTCCAAGGCAGAGCACAGCATAAAAACCAAAGAGACTCTTATCAGTTAGTAACTGATAAAACATCAGAAACAGCATTGTGAATCTCAAAGCAACAATCAGCAACAAAGGCCTTTTCTTAAAAACCTGTTTGTAGAAGAACATGTTTTATCAGTTTCTGAAAAGTGGCAGATAGTAGAATGGGGCATATTTCCTGAACATTCCGCAGAACTGGGGGGCAGTTACTGAAAAGGCCCTGCTCCTCAGTCTGGCATCTGCTAAAGATGGCACTGGGGCTTCATTCATTCATCTTAGAATGCAGGGTAGGAGGGTTACTGTGAGACAAAAATGATGTAACAAGTGGAACTCTGATTGATATAATCGCATTGTTATTAATGCTGAGAAGAGGGACCAACAATCATGTTGCTGCCCTTCCAGAACTGTAATAATTTTGTGAACACACACCCATGGATACATAAACCTGCCTTAGACTCAGACTCTCCAGAGTCTCTTGTTGAGGTCTTTCACATCACGACTCCCTGATCCTTTCCCCTGGAGATACCAGGAGCTGAACCTGGGACCTTCTGCACGCCAAACAGATGCTCTACCACTGATCCATGGGGAGAACATGTAAGCTTAATTTGTGTATGCACGTGGAATCTGTTCACTTAAGTTATGTTCTGTGTAGTTCTTCCATCACCTAGAACTCTACCTAGTTGCTGGGGAAATAATGCTTACCGAGAACAGGCAGGAAGAGACCACAGCCTTTTTTCTTTTTCTTTTTAATTTCCCGACTTCAGGAGTCTCCTTAGAAAACTTCCCACATTGCAAAGAGCTCTTGATACCTCCCGGAACACAGAACTACATTGTGAGGATGCGACTGTACGATGTCAACAAGCGCCTCTTGAATCTCACCATCCGGATCATGTGCCGAGCTGAAGGGTCCTTGAAGATATTTATCGCTACCCCATATTGGCTCATCAACAAAACGGGTACATCGAAAGCTACTTTCCGCACAGCTGCACAGCTTGATTTATCTCCAAGGGGGAAGTGAGAACACCTCAAGGACTGTAGCCACCAGGGGGCATTTGGGGGTAATGTCCCCCACAGATGAGCACTGTCCCCCTTGGACAATTAAAAAAAAAAAAAATACAGGATATGCGTGGGATTTCCAAAATGACCCAGGCACAGAAAAACAGCCCAGAATCAAATCTCTCCAATCGAGAGGACTAGAGGTCGCAGCAGAGCCAGAGCTGCTGCTGCTGCAAGAGGAGCAGGAGGCGTGGCTGGGGTAAACCCCCCCCCATTTCCCCATGCCCCACCAATCGAAGCTTTCTGGCTTTGCCCCTGGTATTTGGACTCGCTTCCCTCTCCAAACAGGGGCAAAGGGTGCTCATAGTAGCACCCTTCTAAAGGATTATTTTCCACGGGTTATAATGCTACTTTGGGCATACTTTGGAAAAGAACGGTGGGTTATATGTAAACTTGCACCTAGCTGTGTTGTACGCTATTCTTCCTTGTTATCAGGGCTATTTTTGGGCAGGAACGCACAGGAACGGAGTTCCGGCTGGCTCCCAAGTTGGCCACGCCCAGCAGGAACACATTAGCATAATAGGCCACACCGAACAGCAGAAACTCATTAGGATTGGCTACATTAGGGGTGTGTGGCCTAACATGCAAAGGACTTTCTGCTACAAAAAAAGACCCTGGGTTTTGACAACAAACAAGGTAAACAGAATAACAAGCAAAGGGTGGGTGTGGCTGGATAACCACACTTCTGGTAACATGCCTAATGTGCTAATGAGCTGTGCTGTCAGGGGTGTGGCCTGATATGCTAATGAGTTCCTGCTGGGCTTTTTCTACAAAAAGAGCCCTGCTTGTTATGATTAGGTCCCATTTCGTGAGACCGGTAGGCAGGGCGAAACTAGTTTGCCTGGAAGGTGTGGGACCTTCTCCTTAACTCCCAGTCATCTTACTATCCCACGCCCAGGTAGAGGAAGGCAGCGTTCTTTGGGTGCACCGTAGCTGTTTGCTAAAAAAGATGGTGTGGGGGCTGCGGCCCCAGAGCCAAGCGCAACCCCCTCCCACAGCAGATGCGCTCAGTTTTCCCTCTCCCTTGAACTCCACTGCCTCTGAGCCAAGTGATCACGTAGCCGAGTGTTCCCTAAATCTAAATTAAGACCGGGCGGTGGTTTAAATTGGACAAAAAAAAAAGAGACAACCCGGAAAATTGGTGGCTCAGTTTTCCATTGATGCTTTCTGGCCCCTGTTAGGGTCAACTAGAGTTTTGAGTCCAGATAGCACTTTGTTTGCACCTTGTCTTAGCTCTCTGAATATTTTATTTTATTTATCACAGGGTAACAAGAACAAAACTAGGGGAATGTCAGCTTGGCCAGGAACTCAGAGAACTGTGACTGGCCCAAGGTCACCCAGCAGGCTTCATGGGGAGCAGTGAGGATGCAAACCTGGTTCCCCAGATTAGAGCCCACTGCTCTTAACCACTACACCATGGTGGCTCTCTAGTTCTTGGTTAAGCAGGTGATTTTTTTGCACCTTTGAGTCCAGGTACAGACTGCAAAGCTAACTCAACCCTGTTTCTTCGTTCGAAGGGTTACCCCTGATCTTCAGGCAGGACAATGCCAAGATCGACGCGGCTGGCCAGTTTGAAGAACATGAACTAGCCAGAAGTCTGAGCCCTCTCCTGTTCTGCTACGCCGACAAGGAGCAGCCAAACCTGTACGTGCGTTTGTTCAACGTTTCTTTGAATAACCAATTGTGGTTTTTATGAACTCACTTTGTCGTCTGTTTTTAAATTTGGAACAAAAACCTCCAGGCACTTAAGTCTTTTGGTGGGGGATGCTCCCACACACACACCTTGATTGTTTCGGTTGTCCTTTTCCAGTCCCGTCTTAGCCTTTTTGCAGCCACACTGCAGATCGGTAAGAAGATCCTGGTGGTTTTATTTTCAGTGCTTTCCCTGAAAATCCTAACTTGGCTGTTTTCAACCTGGCTGCACAGAGCTGGCATTTTCACCGTGCTGTTCACCATCACCCTAAGATCCCTTTCCTGGTTAATCCGTGCCAGTTCAGCGATCCCCGCCCATCACTGGGCTGCTGGCCAAAGAAGCTTTTGCCACAATACATCTGCTAGTCTTTAAATTGCCAGGGCATTCTTTTTTCGGTTTGTTTGGCTAGCTCCCAGCAGCCCTAGGGGGTCAGCCGTGGCTGTGCTTTTTGTACGATACGAATCTGTCGCATGCTATGGAAATGCTGCTGGGATCCTTCAGTGGCTGCCTGGAACTTTCAGAACAACTGTGGCTTGTTAAATGTTTCCGGGATTTGCGATTCTGTGGCAAGGAACAAGCCCAGCCATATATTCGAGAACTGACGATTTCCAAGAATGGAGTGTTTGCGGAAAGGGGCTGTTTTTTAAAATGGTCTGAAAGACGGTCTGTTTCTCACCGCAGTTGCACAATGAGAGTTGGAAAGGGAATCCACCCCGACGGCATGCCAGGCTGGTGCCAGGGCTTCTCACTGGACGGGGGTAGTGGCGTCAGAGCCCTGAAAGTGATCCAGCAAGGAAACCGGCCAGGCCTCATTTACAATATCGGTAGGTCACTGCGATTTGAATTCCTGCTACAGAGAGGTTCTAGTTGCCCCTCTGCGTTTCTTTGATGTGTGGCAGGGGCACGGAATCTTTGTTTTGGAGTTGCCGGCTGCTAACGTTTCCAAATCTGAAACATTTGTGTAAATTTAATTGGGCGTCTGTGTAAATTTCCACTGGAACTTATGAAGGCGAAACTCATGGCCGACCGCTCTACAATCCAGCCCAACAATCCTGCTCTGTTTTCTGCTAATCCCTTGGTCTGACTCGTTCCCTGTTTGCGCCATGCTGTTCCCCCACCCGAGGGCTTGTGGTTCAGCTAAGAGCCAGGATGCTACATGTGAAATCAGCATCTGAACCACAATTTGACGTTAGCTTCTTTAGACTTAACCATGAACACACGAAGCTGCCTTATACTGTGTCTGACTGCTGGTCTGTCGAGGTCTGTATTGTCTACTCAGACTGACAGTATCTCTCCAGGGTCTCAGGCAGAGGTCTTTCACATCATCAATTGCCTGGTCCGTTGTAACTGGAGATGCTGGGGACCGAACCTGGGACCTTCTGCATGCCAACCAGGTGCTCTACCACTGAGCCATGGCCTGCACCCCACATTGAGGCATTGCCCCTCATCTTAATGAAGCGACACTATGCCAGAACCTAAAAAGGTTAGTCAAGAATAGAAGAGGGCCAGCTCTAAAACTCTAATTATGAAACATAAAAATATATACATGTATTTATTCAACACAAATTAAAATAACAAATAACCTCATATACAAATATAAAAACATACAAAGGCTAATGAAATAGACCTAACGCGTTTCGGCCTTTACAGGCCTTCCTCAGAGGTCTAATACAAATAGAACATGTTGGCTGATATGTAAAAATATATACAATCATACATATACAAAATATGAAGTAAAGACCAGAAAACAATCGTTCCAAAGTTTAACCACTGGGCAAAGAAAAGAAATACAAAGATACAAATGACGCCTCCAGTGCAATCACATGTCCAGTAGTACTTCTCTCTGGTCAACTATATATTCTCCTGAGGTTGTACAGCCAAATGTTCCCAATAAAATGTTCTACAGCCAAATGTTCCCAATAAAATGTTCCTTAAGTTAAAAGCAGTGTTAATCAAAAAGGTGTTGGGCCTATATAGTAGGTTGAGGTCTTTCACATCACCTACTACCTAGTTCTTTTAACTGAAGATGGTGGTGATTGAACCTGGGGCCTTCTGCATGCCAAACAGGTGCTCTACCACTGAGCCACAGCCCCGTGCCCCCATTACCATGGTTTGGTATGATGTATGAATGTGAACACCAAGGCTCTGTTTCCAGCTCTGCTGTAGCTCCCTGAATGTCTTTCACTGCTCTTTGGTGCTCCCGACCAAGTGACATAGAAGCCCCTGTTTGGTAACGTCAAACCGACAGCAAAGTTAACGTTAGTGGCATCTTTGCTGTCAAGGTGCACATCGCTCTGGAAAAAGGCACCCATGGCATAGATTTTTTAACACTATTTATTAGCAATAATTACAGGTCATAGTAATGACAATCTCAG